CACTATGGGCAACAGTGTGACCCCTGAAATGAGGAAATAAACATTAAATTACCTAACATCATCTTTTCGTAGTTCCCCTTCCAGCCCCCAGCTACTTCCTTTTCCTTTTCTTTTCCCACAATCCAGTTTCATCCCAAACCACCCACACACCCATTTGTCCTTTGCACACTCACATGTGCGATTTATTTAGGATCAGGTTGGAAAACTGATGGATCAGATTCTTCTTGGTTTATTTGTGCACAAGCAGAAAGTGCCATCAGATGATGAATAGTGGCTGTAGGACTATTTTAGGCTCTGTATGGTGGGCATCAGTGCCCGTGGAAGTATTTTAGGCTTTGTGTGGTCGCTGTTGGTGTCTATAGAGTATTTTAGGCTCTGGATGGTGTCTCTAGAGGTGTTTTAGGCTCCTGATGGTGACTGTCAGTGGCTGTAAGGGTATTTTAAGCTCTGAATGATGGCTCTTAGAGCATTTCTGATTAGGAAAATCCACAGCTGATGTTTGAGTTACCCACAGCTCCAGTGTTGTGTGTATGTGTGGTAATGGCAGGACTGAATTTGGAGGGGGCAGGAGCAGATGCAGTGTCTGCGTTGCTGCCTCTGCCCAAACTTTGGTGCACATGAAGTTGGGGATGTGGATTGAGGAGCAAGCACTCTGCTGTGGCTGTAGGTGGATGAGAGTGAGTTACCCTCTGGCTCAAATCACCGGCTCTGAGGGAGCAGGATGGCTGGTGGTGCTTCCCAGGCTATGTGTTCCCCTAGCACACCTTTGAACATTGCAGACCTCTTAATCATCCCTATAAAACCATTTCCTCATTTTATGGGAAGTGTATATTTGGTGAAATAATCTCACCAAAGGAAATAACTTGTTCTTTGATGAATTATCTTAAATATCAAGTTCATAATTGAGCACAGTGCAAGTGTCAAAGTAGTCATGAGTTGCCACTGCTGTTGTGCTCTTATAAAATTTATCCTTCTGGATTACTTAGAGATGCATCTTAGAATTTTTCAATAATAGCTCATAAAGGCCTTGTTTAAGCCTCCAAACAGCAGTGATCCTACAGGAATGAAACAGCAGTAGCTTCTTCTGATAAAAAAGATACAGTCTGGTTTTGTTCAGGATATTTGGCCATCTACAGTATGAATTTAGGAAACTAAATTCAAGTCATCAAGGTCTGCAGATTTTTCACTAGGTTAATATATATTTTTTCTATACACATCACTTCTGAAACTGCCCAGTAAAGATATTTTGGCTCTGAAGATACACTCAAATGGGAATAATTAGTGAGAGGGTGATGTTAAAGCATCGCAGCGCTGCAGGGCAGGGATTTGTCTGCACGTTAATCACTAGCCCCAGTTCTGAGTTTTATAACCCAGCCTGTTCCCACACGTGTCTGTGGGACATGGGCCCTTCACCTCTGAGTGATGTTCTTTCCCTCAGATTTCCCACCCTTTGTCCGTGACTAATACTGAAAAGTGAAAGAAGCTTTTTATTCCACTGCAAGCTTCCTGGGTTTAGGTCTGTTTTCTCCAAAGTGTGTTAACAACAGGAAAACAGTGTGTGGGTATAAAAATACACTTATTTAATGGTGTTTTATTGTCTGGCTCGACGCTGGGTGATGTGTGTGTCTGCAGAGCTCCTGCCTGGCCTTTTTCTGTCCTTGGCAGCCCTCCCACGTTGGGTGTTTGTTGGGTGCTGTCACTCTGTGAGGTGTCACCGTGCCATCCCTTCGCGTTTACCTGGCACAAGCGTCGGAGCCCCGTGTCCCGGTGCTGTATCCTGTGTGAGGCAGCCCACAGCCAACATGAGCATGGGAATTGCATGCAGACATGCAAGAGAGAGGATGTTGGGTGGGAAAAAAATCAAATCCAGCCCTTGGCAGTTGTTTGGAAGAGGGTCCAGAAGAGGTTTTCCAGGACCATGTGTTCCCAGCTGGGTGCCCATCTCTCCTGGGACAAGAGGTGCTGCAGGCCCGGGCTTGGTGCTGTGTGTGTAGTGTAGGGAATAGAAGGAACCTCTTTAAAATTCCACACCCTTCTGCAGGGGGAGGTTGGTCCTTCAACTGACTGTGTTATATGTGAGGCTTAATCTTCAGAAGCATCCTTGTGCCTTAAGCCTGTGCTGTAAGCATATTATCAGAGCTGTTTTGGAAAGAATAGAATATTAACGTCCCGAGAGCCAAGCTGGGTAGGAGCCCAAGGGTTTGTCAAGGGGGCAGATGTGACCTTTGGGGCACTGGACAAGCCTCACTCTTGGACTTCTTGGACCTCTTACACAGCAGCCCCTTCCTCAAACTTGGAAACTTTCTCTTATCCTGAAAAATCGCTCTCCAAAAGATTTGAGGCAGTATAGGAAAAGTATTTATTTTAAAAAGTAATGCTTTTCTTGGAAAACAAAAGGATATTACAGATTTGGGGCTTGTTTAAAACCCTGATGATGTAGAGTGGTGTTAATGGATTAACACAGACGATGGATTAAAGGTTTGTCCTCAATAAGATGGATATAGGATCACAGTATCTCCTTGTTTTATGGTTGCACTTGACCTCTGCATGAAACTTCCTTCTCATTTTGTGCACACTTTGCAATTAATGGCATAAGCATGTTGTTTCCTTACCTGCCCTTTTCCCTTGTTTTAGGAGCAGTCTCTGGTGATTAACAATCTCTATTGTTTCATGGATCCAAACTGGAACAGCGAATGCGCAGGGTGATGATCTCCCTGTATCTGATGTGCTGTGCACCATGACTCGAGCAGGATGGTTTGGGCTGGAGGGGACCTTAAAGCTCGTCTCATTCCACCCCCTGCCATATGCAAGGGCATCTTCCACTAGGTTAGATTGCTCCAAGCCCCATCCTTCACTGTATATAGTGTTACCTGTATGTCTGGGGTGAGCCAGGGCACGAAGCCCGCTTGTGATCCCAAGGAAGGGCCATGTGTCTCCAGGCCTTTGAGTAGAGTCACCTCAGGCTTTGTCCCTGGTCCCTTCAACAGAGGCTGGAGAGAAAAACCTCCTTAGGGAAGGCTGACAGCATGGCTGGGGCTGCTGGGCAGTACCATGGGCAGGGGAACCAACGAGTGGTTTCCTTCCCTCTTTTCACATATTTTATTTTCTTGATATAAACACTGTTCCTAGAGGAAAACTCACTTGCTGACTGCAGCTGGTTTTGCTGCTGAATCATCCCCCGCTTGCCAGATGTGGCCTGATGGATTTTCTCCTGCAATTAATTGTCTCTACTTGGTCTTGCATTGCATAGCCAAGTGCCCTGAGAGGGAGGGAGGGGAACTATCCTAGTTCCTTGGAACTATCCTAGGAATTAGCTTGAAGGGTCGGTCTCTGCCCAAACCCCTGGTTTTGAGCTATTCCATTAGATTTGTGCTTCCCAGAGGGTGTCCTGGGTGGCAGATCTGATCCAAGGTGTCCTGCTGCCCTCTGGCTGGTGCCCAGACAGGCAGGAGAGCACAGGAATAGCCTGTGTTTGAGTGACCTGCAAGGAAAGAATCTGTTTATGTGCCCAAATGGTGGCATGCTGTGTGACACACAGCCTTTTTGGGGTGGTTTTGGTTTGGGTGATGGGGGTGTTGGGCTGTTTTTGGGGCACCATGGTGAGCTCTGCTGTGGTGAACAGCGTGTGCCCGGCTGCTGCTGGCACTGAACCTTTGAGGACACCACAGTCAGCTTCCCAGCCTCGTCCTTCTGCTGGAGTTCCTAGGGGAGATCCCAGCAGCAGGGACACCGCTGGGAGCACAGACCCTCCCATCTTCAGTGTTAATATCAGGGATTGGGATCCCGTGGAGGGAATGCCGAGCCTGCAGCCCGGCGCCTCTCCCGTCCCCGCTGCCGAGGCTGTGCGGCTGTTGCTGCCGGTGTGTTGCTGTCAACACGGCCTTTGGAAAAGTTCCTTTCCCCCTGGCTATTTTGAGAGGAAGCATGTGATGCAGGCAGCTCCCTGTGCCGGGCTCCCTATGGAAGGGGGCTTCCAGCACTGTTCCCAGCAGAGGAAGGGTGTGAGCGATGCAGCTCCAACAGCCTGCATCGGCTTTTTGTCCTGTCCTATGGATGGTGCAGCGGTCAGCTCCAGCTGGGATGCTGCTGGAGCTCTGGGGGGGATGTGTGTTCCTGTAGGGACTCTGAGTACTGATGGATTATTATAAACCATTTTACTCTGTTGAGCTGGAGAAATACAACCTGTCTAAGGCTGATCTTCTTACAGCTGCTCTTGGCATTATGCTGGGCTTTTAAACCGCCCTCACACCATGATTAAAACCTTCTGCCTGTGTTTTTCCCCTTTTAATTGTATCCACTGAAACATCACTTTCATCTCAAGTAGCCAGGCTGTAGTAGTGATCAGGATGGGAGAAGGAGCACTAATATTTAAAGGCTGGAGAGGCTTGGGATGGAGTCCGACGGTGGCTCTGCTGCGGGCAGTGCTGGATGCACTGCCTCATCCTGCTGCACTTCATGTCCTCTCTAAGTTAATGACATTTCTTTTCCTCTTGTACTCTTTGCCTGACTCATTTGCTCAGGCTGTAAGTACCTGAAGAGGGTGGCTGCTTGCTCAGTGTCTGAGCTGCACCTACCAGAGATTCCTGTAATGCCCGTAAGGGAATTGCCTGCTTTGCTCCGAGGTTATATCCTTAATGTGTGTCTTTTAGAAGAGGAGTCATAGAATCATGGAATAGTTTGGCTTGGATGGGATCTTTAAAGGTCATCTAGTCTAACCCCACCTTCATTTTGTTTAAAAAGCCCTGTAGTTCTGGTTTTACCTGGTCCATCCCATTTGCATTCTCTTGTTGTAAGTCCTATCCTAGTTATTATTTTATGACAATTCCAGAGCTGCGGCCGTTGGGTGCAGAAAGTCATGATGGTCTTTGAGGACCTCATTGCTGGGGGAGGTGGAGGCAGGTCCTGGCAGCAGGCACCATTGGGGTGACACCAGGCGTGTCAGCAGGCCCTTCCCAGCTGGAGCCCAGGTCCTCATAATACTTTCCTCTTGTGTTTTCCAGGTGTACAACTCGAACAAGGACAACCAGAGCGAAGGCAGTAAGTATTTCTTCTCAAGCCTGACCCCTGAGAGGTGACTGAGCTGTGTGGGGAGTCAGCAGGAGAAGCTGGTGACACTGGGCTGTACTGGGCTCCCCTGGGCCAGGGGGTGACAAGAATTGGCATGGGGACCACAGGGTGACCCAAGGAAAACTGTGTCTGGCACCCAGCAGGGGCCAGGGGCAGAAACCTGATGGTGGGACCTGGGGCCATGGAGAGCTATGTGAGGCAGTTCCCTCTGCCCCTTGGGATGTGTCCCCTCCTGCCCCAAACTGTGGTGTCTCAAGGGCAGTGGAGGGGTGCTGGTGGCCTTGGGACCTGCTCCTGATGCTCAGCAGAGGGTTCAGGTGACACCTGGGACCAACCAGCTTTCCTTTCTGAGCCAGAATGTACAGTGTGAATGTGCCTTTCCAGAGGGGAATTGGAGCACAAATACAGGAGTGAGGAGGTCCTGTCTCATCAGGATTGACAACAAGAGCCCTTAAAAATAAAAAAGCTGTTTTTATTGTAGTTCAGGCAATCAAAGCCTTGAGTCAAGAAAGCACTTGTTTTTCTTCTTAGAGGAACAGTTGCACCTGGTCCTGCCTCTTATGTCCTGTGTTTTAAAACCCTTAATTGAGCCATTTCCCAGTAGGTTTGATTTGCCATAATTGCAATACTCCAACCCTCAGTCCCTTCCCTCCTTCCCTCAAAACCGGTCACGTGGTGGCCTGGGCTGACGGTCAGTACATGGTTCATTTTTGTGCTGCCTCAGACACGGCATTTTCATCTTGAGCCGAAGCATTTTTCTCACAGTAATTGGTATAATTTGCAGCTAATGTTCCTCACACGCATTTCAGCCCTTGCACAAAGCAATCTCTTCCCCCTCTCTGCCATGGTTTTTCGTTCCCTTTGGTCCTCCCTGGCATCAGCTGCACATCCATCCTTTCCTCTGGGTGTTCCACCTGGCTCTGTGCATCACAGGTCATCCTTGCAGAGCTCAGTGCTGTGCCTCACACTCAGGAAGGGCAGCATGGCCAATGCCCTGTGGGGTAGGAACTCTGCTAGAACAGCTCATCTTGTCTCAGTTTTCCAGAGGGGCAAAAGGAGTTTTTGAGACACAGAGACCAGGACTGGCTCAGCTGCATCCTAGCTGGCCGTGAGCTGTCACCGCTCTGTGTTCCCTGCACACAGCCCCTGGCTCTGCCAGGGCTGTACCTGGTGATTTGGCTTAAGAGACCATTTTGATGGTCTGTCTTAAAAGTGAGAAGGATCTTCCCTATCTGCTCCACAGACTGTCCTTCCTGGCTCTGGAAGAGGGTTGGAACCCTTGGCTGTGTACATAACAATGCTTCTGAACCCTCCAGTTGGGCTAGGCTGGTGTGGTCAGAGATCTGAACTGCCTCAGCCCTCATTAAATCCGTGTCTTGAATCTCTGCTTGCCTCACCAGCCACTCTAAAATTGATTCAGGGACTGGCTTTCTGCCAGCAGCCCTTGATACAGGAGCTTCCTATAAGGACTTGAAATGAGTGCAGTGATTGAGTGGGTCCGGATGCAATTCCTGACCCTGGAAACCTCTATACCTCTGCTTCCTGCTTGTACTTATGGGAGCATGACAGCACCTCGCAGTGCTGTAGTGGCACTTTTTGGCCACTGTCTAAATTTACAGAGCTTTTGGTTTTACATCCTGCTGAGTGGCCAGATGGCCATCGGCCCACAGGTGATTTATCTTAATCTGCTTTGGGAGGGGGGAGAAAGCCGTGCTGAAGGGGTGAGTGGGTGTCACTGAACTGCGCGAGCCAGGAGGATTTAGATGCACTAGTTTGCAAACCAGAAGGACTTGCCCTGCTTTGTGGAAACAAATCCTCCAGGCCATTTGTGCTTATTGCATGGAACAGCACAGAAGAACTCCTTTCCCTTCTCTCCCCTTTTCCCTCTCCCTTTTCCATTTCCACTTGGTTCTCCATTAGTTGAGGACCCCATCAAAACTTGTCTTTATTTTCACAAGCTCTTCACATACCTTGATACCCTTGGCTACCCTGTCTGCTGTGCCCTTATCTGTGTGGATCTGGCCACCCCAGCAGGCACAGTCACAGAATCTCAGAATGGTTTGGGTTGGAAGGGACATTTAAAGGTCATTTAGTCCAGCCCCCTGCCAAGTGCATGGGCACCTTCCAGTAGAGCAGATTGCTCCAAGCTCTGTCCAACCTGGCCTTGAACACTTCCAGAGATGGGGCAGCCACAGCTTCTCTGGGCAACCTGTGCCAGGGCCTCACCACTCTCCTTGTAAAAAACTTCTTCCTTTTATCTACCTAAATTAACCCTCAATCTTCCTTTCCCAAACTTGGCAGCTCACTGGTAGTTTGAGACTTGAAAACTCATTTCTGGTAAGACTTGAAAACTTGTTTCTCTCTGATCTCTGCTTCTTGGTTTCTCCCCGCCTCTGTGGCTCTTATTTCCTTGAAGTCTTTGAAACAGTTCAAGCCAGTGATCATTTCATGGCACAGAAATGAGTGGTGGGGAGGCAGAGGAGCTGCTTTGACCTTGCACTGCCACGACCGACACACAGCTGGAGCCAGCCAAGCTGCACAGAGCTGATTCAGTCCTGCCCCCTTCCTGATGCTCTGATATGCCACATCAGCGTAAAGTAAAGGAATTAATGGATTAAATAGAAATAATCTGCTAGGCAAAAATAGAATGGGATGAGACCAACTCACTAGCACTAGAGATGTGATGCTACTTGAAGGTCAGATGGGTGTGGGGGTGTGTCTGGGCAGCAGCTGCAATACAGGTGATGTGTATCACTCCTGCCAATGTAAAATGTTACTGTGATAGATTAATTACAGCCTGGGTAGTACATCTCCTTGGCACTGGAATGCTGCTGCTGTAGGAAGAGCCTGGAGCTGAGTCTCACATCCTTCCCTGCAGAAGGAGAGCATCAAAGGGGGCTCTTTTACTTGGACAGGCAAACAGGGCCTATTGGAAATTAGGCTGGCTCAGGCTGCCCTGGGCAGTGATGGAGTCCCCATTCCTGGAGGGATTTAACAGGTGTATGGATGTGGCCCTTGGGGGCATGAGTTAGTGGTGGCCTTGGCAGTGCTGAGGCAACAGTTTGACTCTATGACCTTAGAGGGCTTTTCTAACCAAGATGATTCCATGATTCTGTGATGTGGACAGCAGTAGATCCAAATCTGCCTTTGATCTGGGCCATTGCTGAACTGAATCATTGGGTAAATGACTGAGATAAAGAGCAGCTGCTCTGTGAGAGGGGAAATCAAGCTTTTACAATGCTCACTAAAAGTTAAATTTAAGGATGAATAAAGGCACTTTGGATATTTAATCAGATATTATTTCTGGATGTAACTACTGCAAATAAATCCCCGACCTTTCCTGATCCAGAGCTCAGCAATGAGTGGAAGAGCTTATTCATGTGCTTAGGGGGATTATTCCAGGTCGCTTCCATCCAGAGGGACTGCTGGGTTTCCTGCCCCTGCTATTGCTGCAGGGAGGTGGGATCCCAGCCCTGCTTGGCCATGGGGCAGTTGGCTCTGCAGGGTTATAGAATTATGGAATCAGAGAATGGTTTGGGTTGGGAGGGACCTTAAAGCTCATCTCGTTCCGCTCCCTGCCATGGGCAGGGATACCTTCCACTAGACCAAGTTTCTCCAAGCTCTGTCCAACCTGGCCTTGGGGGTTGGAGGTGTCTTTTGCTCAAGTCCAAACATGTGAGGGACAAAAGGAAAATTGTTGTTTTATGAAATAGTTGATACTTCCATAAACCAGGCACTTCAGAGAGCCTGAAACAGTGATCTGTGTTGGCTGGACAGCACCATGCAGGGACACCCAAAGGTCAGGGTCATATCAGTGCCAAGCCAAGGCTGATCAGACCTGCTGAACCAGGTTTGCTGGTAAAAGAGTGTTTCCACACTGTGGTTTTGTGCTTCTCAGGTACCCTTGTACCTGAGTGATCTGAGTTATGGCAGCTGTGCCCTGCTGATGCAGAAGGTACGTTGGTTTTATGCTGCATCTGTGTTTGGGGAGTGGTGCTTGGAGCCCTCCAGGTGCCCAGGAAAGGGCACTGCAGCTTCTGGATATCCAACACGTCCTATGGCACAGGCATCCTGCAGCTTGTGTGCTTATGTTGGCTCGGCAGGAAAGCCTGCTTGCCCAGAAAAACACAATAGAGCTGTTTTACTTTGCACTGTTTTGGGTCCTTGTGCCATTCATCAGACAAAGAACACCCCCAGCAGAGAACTCAAAACAAGGGATTAGGAAGGGACTGCTCCATGCAACCGTGAGCTGGCAGCTGGTCATGGAGCAGCAGTGGATCCATGTATGAATAACAGTGTGAGCAGGGGGAATGCAAAGGGGGGAAGTTGCACGTGCCCTTCTGTGAGGGCACTGCCAGCCCTGGGCACTGGTCCCTTTCTGCCCTGCTCTCCATAGAATGAGTTGTGTCTCTCACAACACGGCATTCTCTGGAGTCTGGAGCCCAGGGAAGCTTTGCACACTGTGGGTCTCCTTCCTATGTAAAGTTTCCCAAACTTTTCTGTAGGAAGGAAGTAATTTTCCATAACAAATAGCTGTGTGCAGCGTTTTCCAGGCAGTGGTGGAAAGCTGTCTGTGGGATGAATTTTTCCAGCAGGTGTTTGGATCCGTGTACAATTAATTCCTTGAAATTAAAAGTGAAAACCTGCATTGGTACGAATGAGTTGAGTTGTACATCCCATTAACTCCAATGTTTTAGCTCTCAGTCTCAGGCAGAGTCAGCTGCCTTCGGGACACCCTAATTTACTCCAAATAAATATTTCATTTGTGCTAATAAAAGAACCTGAACCGTGCACATCTGTGCTGGGTGAGGCTGAGTGGGAGGTGTGTGGTGGCTCACAGGACAATATTGTTCAGCTGGACTTTTGCCTTGCTGGGGGCAGGAGCGGCTGCCTGGGGTGTGCAGGAGTGGTTAGGGACAGTGCTGATGGGCACCCCAGGGGCAGTTCTCCTCCCACTGGGCATAGGAGGTGCTTCAGACAGAGATTTGACCCAAAGTTTATTCCCGTCTCCCAGTTCCTAATGCTCTTCCACTGCCATGTGCTGTCAGCTCTCTCCTCTTCACGTGATGTTTTTACCTCCACGTTTTCTTAGAATCACAGAACTGTTTGGTTTGGATTGCTCTCCAGCACATGTGTGGCTTGGTTAGCTGGATGCAGAGCAGAAAGGATGTATAGGAATTCCCTGGGACTCATCAAGAACGCTGCCATTTTGGGGGATTTGTTGTGTCAAAAATATATGATTTCCTTTTTTCCAAGCAATCTGTTGTCAGCTTTCCAGACAAGTTTGGGTTATCTCACCTTGATCCTAAAATAATTTTTGACCATCCACAGAGGTAGATGCCTGGCTGAGCCCAGGGCTCTGCTTCTCAGTGGGTGTGGAGGGGCTGGTTCAGAGGGATGTGAAGTCTGGAATGACAGTCAGCATCTGTGCTTGCCTGAGTTACACCTGGTACAAGCTGCTGTACTCAGGCTTTTCTGCCCTGAACACCTCATTTATCTTCTTCTCCTCCTCCCTGCCCCATCTGGGCAGTGGTGCAGCATTGCTGGGGATGGCAGGGATTCAGGAGGAGCATTGTGCTCTGTCCCTCTGCCAGGTGTTCATCACTTCTCTCTTCTCTTCCCCTGCAGCTGCCCAGCTGGACAGTATCGGCTTCAGCATCATCAAGAAGTGCATCCATGCTGTGGAAACAAGAGGTAGGGCAGCTTTGGGGCAGCCCTGAAGCTGTTGGTAGTGGAGCAGTTGCTTTCCTGCTCTTTTCATGGACAAAAATGACTCATTAACCCTCAGATCCACATCAGATGAACCCAGTAATGTGCTCGAGCCGATGCTGTTGCCGAGACACGCAGTGGCCCTGTGGTTGGACTCAGCAAACTTTGGGGCAGAGTTGGCCAGTAACACACTGGGTGTGCAAAAGAGGGGATGGGACCAAAGCCAGGGGTTCATTTGAGCATCCTTGCTGCAGGAACGCTGCAAAGCACGTCCTCTCACGTGGGATAACAGAGATGGGCATGGTAGTCCTTCCCCAAAGCCTCTTGTGAAGACTCCTTGTATACAGATAGGATTTTTGTGAGCCTCTTGGCCCTACACGAGGGAGTGAAGAAATGCAAAAGGCTCAGACCTCAACCTGAAGAATGTGGCACAGTAAAATTTTCCCAAACTTCCCTTGTTAAGTGCAGATCCTTCATGGGATAAACTGTAGCTCCCCTCATGGCTGTGGGGAGGAGGAAAGGTGTCCTTAGATCCTTATTCCTGAGCTAATTGAATGTAACACTTTTATTACATGAAATCCTTGATATCAAACCCAAATTTTACCCTCTTCTATAATTTTTTATGTAATTGATGAGAAGGTTTCAGTGGCTTTGCTATTTGAGAAGCCAAAGAAATGAAAGAAATATTAGCAGCTCTTGTGACCTCCTCCTAATAAGCTCCTTGTTTTTCCTAGGGATCAATGAGCAGGGTCTCTACCGGATTGTTGGAGTAAACTCCAGAGTTCAAAAGCTGCTCAGTATATTAATGGGTGAGTATCTGGTATTTTGTTAAAGGCAAGCTGACTGTGCAGCTTTGAAGTCTTGCCAGCTGGGAGCAGAGGCTCTTGGTGGAGTCCCTAATTGTGGTGAATGTGCCCTTAGGACCATGTGCTGGTAGAGGCCGGGAGGTCCCTGGGCACCGTTGGCAGGTCAGAAGGTAGGACTTGTGTAGGACATTGCTTTATGAGGTCTCTGGTGCAGTCACTGGTCTCCTGCTCATATGCACTCTTGAGTTCTGGCAGCCTTCCCAAATGCAAAGCAAAATCTTCAAAGAAATAGCTGAAAGCTTTGGGTTTTCATCTCCTACCCGCCCCCCTGTTCCCAGCACACTTTGAAATTATTTTCTCCTGCGTGTTGCATGCTGCCTGTGACTCTTCTTGCTTTCCCTACGGACCTTCTTGTGCCTGTTTATCACGGTCTTGCCCAGACCTTTTCAGCATGTGTTTCCCTTGTGCCTGAGGTATTGGACCTTGCAGTTTTGGATGCTCAGGAGAGAAAAGCTGCTGGATCACACTGTGACAGAGCTTGGTGTTGACATTTTGGGGCTCCCAATGTGCAGCCCCCTGTGTCTGCCTAGCAGCCTCAGAGCCTCTCACCTCTCACAAGGTGTGATGGCCAGAGAGAAGGATGTGTTTGCTCCCAGTGCATTTGTGCTCTGAACCAGCATTCCTGTGGGCTGGATCTGAGCACTGGAATGTGTAGGAGCAAATAGGTCTGGTGTCAGAGAGCTGATCTTTGTTCCTGAGGCAGGTCTGGGGCACCATGGCTGACTTTTCCTGGACTGGTTCCTTTTTTGGAAGTATTGTGTTTCCATCACCCACCACGGTGCAGAGCCCTGTGTTGGGTCGCACTTTTTGGGATATACTGGAGAATTGTTATCCTGACTCCCAGCCCAGTTCCATGTCAGCTACAGCCTGGGGGTTATTCTTGACCCAAAGAGGAACTCAGCCCTCCCTCTCTCTGCTCTGTTTGCTTCCCCTCCAGTAGCACCTTCCCTGCTCCCTGTGCCCTTCCTGTGGTCCAGGCTGGTGCTGAGATTGGCTCAGGCTGTGTGGGACAAAACCATTTGAGCCCCTGGCCTTGCAGTCAGCATTTCCATGCCACAGCTGTAGCCCTAGGCAGTCTGTGTGTCTGTCCAGGCATGTCTTGGACACACAGTTGAAGAGAGAGCGCATCTGAGCTGGAGCAGGGCAGCTGCCTCTCAGCCAGTCCTGTCTGGTGCTGCTCAGACTTGGCAAAACCACCTATGAAATTGTTGTGGGAATGGGGAAACAAATGCTTAATAATTTGTTAGCGCCCTATTAAATGTGTTTGTTACTCCTTGGGGGAAATAAGTGGCATTTCTGGTCTCTTTCGTCTTTCCCTTCACTTATTAGCATTCCTTTGCTACAAGACTTCATTTTCCTTGCCCTCACAAAACTCCAGTGCTCCTTTCTTTACCCATTTCTCCTCACAGGAAGTTTTAATCTGTTATGTTTCACTTCAGACATCTTTTCCTTCTCCTTTTCCAATTCCCCCTTCTTTTTACGCCGTTGAGGTGTTCACTGATCCAAGCCCATGGTGGCTGTTACTGCTGTCGGCGTGAACCTATGGAAAATTGGTAATCCAGGGGTGATTGGAGCAGAAGGGCACAGCACTAAATCCAGGCTCAGGGGACTTCTGCGTGCCAGCTTTGCTCTGGCATTTGGAAAGTTTGCTGCAGTCACGAGAGCTGGTGACTGATGCTTTTATTAGAGAAGTTTGGCACAGGCTGTGGGACACATGAAGGTGGTGCCCCAGGTCCGATGGGGGAGCCAGCGCTCTCCCGTGGCACACGTTGGGCACGGTTGCTTTAGAGCATCAGATGAAGAGCATTGCTCTGGGGTGGGTACTCAGGGGTGCAGCAGGTCCACAGGCAGGTCCTCTAGTGGTGCTTGTCATGCTGCTGCGCCTTGTCCCGTGGGCTGGCAGAGCGATGGACCCCGAACTCTCCTCTAAGGGAGAAGAGTTGGTCTCGGTGAGTCCTGGGGCTGTGACAGATGGCAAAACTCACTTGGGTGAAGAGCTCTCTGGAGCTGGGAGGGATCCAGTTTTGGACGCCATCCAGCATCCATTATCTCCTCGGCGACTGAAGCCACTCAGCTGTCTACCTCGTGTCTCATAACACGGTGATATATTGCTGGTGGTTTTCCTTTGTCCTGGTGTGTCCTCGTTACTTGTTGGTGCTGGAAGCCCTGTTACAGGCGAGTGGAGGCTGGAAGCAGGACCCTCTTTGGGGATCCCCCGTGCCGTCAATCGTCGGGATGCTTTGAAAACCCATGACTCCATATCTTTCTCCAAATTGTGGGTGATCAAATCTTCATCAGCCCCAGTGTTTGGGCTGTCTGTGAAGTCAGTGTCACGCAGAAACATGCCCCTTGTCAAACCCCATCTGTTCTTGCTGCCCTCGGGGCTCCAATATCCTGCTGGCAGCAGCACCGCTCTACTCGGACACTCCCGTTTGGATCCAACCCTTGTGAACAGAGGAACCAAACTGTGCTTACAACATCAGGTTTCCCTTATATATAGAAATGAATGTGGGCAGCGTTACTGCTTCACATACAGTTTAAATGGCAAAAAGATCAAGTTTCCCTGAGCTGGTGTCAGTGACACTGCTGGGAAGGGCTTTGGCATGAGGTGTCCCTGCAGGAGGTCGGTGCAGGGACTGTGGAGCACCAGCTCCCCATGGCAGCAGCTGGATCAGGGACAGCCCCAGCCTATGGGTTTCAGGTTGGGGCAGCAGAGCTTGTCATGGTCTGAACCAGTGTGAAGCAGTGGGGGGGTGCTTCCAGGGGTAGGTCATCTCCCCAGCCTTCACCAGCACCAGTTGCCATCAAAATGAGGACAAAACCCAGCACCTAAGCAAACTTTTATCAGTGGGAGCTCTTGTAAAAGGATTTATTGTGGTAGTGTGTCAGAGGACAGTGGGGGCACCAGCAGGTCTGAATTCAGCACTGGCATGAGTTACAGCATCTGATCTGCTCTTGCTCCTATTCCCTCTGGGCCATAAGGGCTGGAAGTGGACTCCTTCATGCCCCTCACTGCTGGGATGAAACGTCCCTGTGGCTGTTTTGGAAGTCTCTTGGTGAGAATTACAACTGGATGATGAGGTAGTGCCCCAGGTGGTTCCCCTCGCCCTGGAGAAGTTCGTGAGAGATAGCAGATCAGTGATTGGCAGCAAAAAGCAGCTCCAGGGTTAGTGCTGACTTTGGGCTATGGGTGCTTTTCCAACCCGTATCCCACATTGACCCCAGTTCCTGTGGAAGTGTGTCCTTGTGGGAGGCAGAGCTGCGGCTCTGGCTGCAGCATCACTGCCTGGGGAGACAGATGCTGCAGCTGGAACCCACAGCGCTCACTTTTTGCAGACTCATAAATTTGAAGGTCAAGGGGAACTGATTAGCTGCTCTGAGCCTTTTCATGGGACCGACTGTGGAATTTCACCTCGTGTGCCATGATCCTGCCTAGAAACTGCTGGATGAGGTTTTGCAGAGACACACAGTCGGGACTTGTTTGTTCTACTTCTGTTAGAAAGTTTTTTTTAAAAAAAGGTGGAACTTTTGGGGGGTTTTGTTTTCTTGTTTTTTTTTTTTTACTTTGCCAAGCTTATTTTGACTCCATTAAAAAGTTTCCTCCTTATAAAGGCAGTGCAGTAGGAAGTTTCCTCAGTATTGACATGGGAGGATGGAGTTCATTTGTGTGATCATTGTGTGAGACACACATGATCTTTGTGTGAATATACATTTCTCACATGTTTACTTTTCCAGGTACACCTCTCAATATTGTTTTTGAATTAAAATAGACTCGTTGCTCCAAGGGAAAGCCAAACTCTATTCAGGGCATTCTTTTAAGTAGGTTGAAAATTACCCAATGCTTACCTGGGGCTTTAAAATTCAAAAGTGCATTATTTGTGTCTGTGAAAAGGCAGAAATACCCCCTGAGCTGAGCCTGTAGGAGCAGATGGTGCGAGCAGCTGTGGCTGTGTCAGCCTTGGCCTTGGGCATGGTGGGAGCCCCCGCGCCTGCGCCGCTCCCCAGGGACGCTTGGCAGTGATGGGATCCTGGGATCCCCGCAGAGGCTTCCCTGGGATTTTGGTGGGAGCAGGATCCTGACTGTGCTTCCAGCACTGAGTTAGCAAAGCCTGTTTGTGGAGGAGCATCCGCGTGGGAGAGATCAGCACATGGGGCACATCCGTGCCCTGCCTCTCCCTGGCCGTGCTCCTCACCCGGCACGGAGCCATTGCCGCGTTGGGACTCAGTGCTGTGCCTGAGGTATCCATGGCCAGGCCACTTCCTGCTGGCCTGATGGTGGCTGTGCAGGAGATGGGCTGTGATTGCCTCGGTGGGGAGGCAGATGCAGGATGACGTTTTGCATCAGTGGGAAGAGGGTCTCTGTGCCCTGAGTCTGTGTCCTGTCTGTGCCCGGCCATCACCGCTGTCACTGAGCACCACAGGCTGCTGTGCCCTCTGTCCTGTCACCCTCAGAGCCAAACTGCCCATGTCCTCGCTTGGGATGGATGATTCCCTTTCCTTTCTCTCCTCCCATCCCAGTGAATGTGGCCCATCCCAGGTGATGAACCCCACTCCCCTGCCAACATGCCTGTGGGGATTGGCTGTGGTCCCTGGGCTGGGAATAGCGAATAAAATGGGACATGAGAGTCTCTCCACACAGCTGAGCTGGCGCAAAAGGGAATTGTTTTCACTTTGCTTCACTTTTGTCTTTTTTGTCTTTTCCCTTAGATCCCAAAACAGCCACAGAGACAGATACAGAGATCTGTGCAGAGTGGGAGATCAAGACCATTACTAGTGCACTGAAAACATACCTGAGGTAAGGAGAAAATCCTCACCTGGCTTCAGGAGGGGTTCAGTGGTGGTCTGGGACATTACTGCCCCTTATTGCAGACCTTTAGCAACAGCACTTTGATAGAAACAGCAGAAACTGCTCTTAGGTAATTTATTCTGGCTTTTCCCTGACCTTCCAGCATGTGTGAGTATAATCTGGGGAACACACTCATTTCTGACAGATGCACATATCATACCAACATGATTTTAAAAGCTCATTCTTGCATCTCCTGCTTTGATTTAAGCTTTTCTCTGAGCTTTTCCCAATGGACTTCCACCTTCTGAGCTCGTGGCAGGAGCTGTGTAAAGGGCAGCGGCTGTAGAGCTTTTCCAGACGCGGTGCTGAGCTTTAGTGTAGTTATAATTTCTGTGTGTAAGTCGATGCCTTTATCGTCCTGGGTATCTTCCCACCGGGCTCGGGTGTTGGCAGCCGGCAGCATCTCATTATCCACAACATGCTTCTACCTGTTGTGACCACAGCTTCTTGCTCTCTGTGGCTGTTGTGTGCGTTGGGTTGTGTTTGACAGAGTGAGGGAGCACAAGAGAGAAGCTAAATCCAATTAGGCTGGTGAGGGTAATTAGCATGGTGGATCTCAGCCTAGAAAATCACAGAACACTACAGAATTTTGCATGATTGGCAACATTTGCTCCAGAGTTTGAACTGTTGGCAAAGCAAAGAGGAACGTGGGCAGCACCAGTGTGACCCTCTGAAGGGATGCAGGAGTGGGAGGGGGCAAGGGGAATTGAATGGGAACAGGGATTGTGAAAGTTTTACAACTAGTCTTGTTTATCTTTTTAATTTATTTTTAAACTTACTTGAAAGTCAGGGGCTTGGTAATGCACTGAAACTCCATGTTATTGAAGGAATGCTAAAATTAAAGATTAATTTAGTGACGAATAAATCAAAGATACTTGCATAGATCTTATTCTTTCTGATGAGGGGAATTAATTAGAATTGCTGTTGCTTAATTCTGCACTTTTCAAAATGGAGCTGAATTTGTGGTAGAGGCAAAGCTTTCTGTGTGTGAATTGTGTTCCCCAGATGTGTTTTGTGCCTGTTTCCTTTTTATCTTCTAGAATGCTCCCAGGGCCCCTCATGATGTACCAGTTTCAAAGGAGCTTCATCAAAGCAGCGAGTGAGTTTGTTGATGTTTATGGCCCCGCTCCCAAAGTGGAGCCTCATTTGCAAGTTACTGAGATTCCCTCTGCCCTGCTGCCTCCCCACCGACCTCCCGGGCTCCCGTCCCAGAAAGTAGAATAAGAATGGAGAGCCATGGGGCAGGTTGTTGTTTGGGAGGTGACCAGATGAAGAGGAAGCACAGATGGTGCTGGGAGCGCGGAGCTGGCGGTGGCTCCCGCTTGTTGTGACCATCAGCTGCCAAGGCGGGGGAGGCTGTTGTTCAAACAATGCCCACGGGTGTTTGATGGCACCAGTGGTGGTTCAGATGTCTGTGCTGTGTTCCTGTCACTTTCCTGGGAGAAGGGGCTTTGCTGGGAGCAGGTAGCTCTCTTTTGGCAGCTGTACAAGGAGCCAGGGCCAGGAGGGCTCACATAGTCCATGGCCACAGTGGTGGTGGCCTCTCTCAGCAGCTCCCACTTAGTACCTGTGGATCCAACCGGATGCTCCCGCCTGACCTTTGCTGGGCACACTGAACATACAGAAAGGGAACGTGCTGATATTCCCGTTGCTGAAATCACTCTGGTTACAGCCAGCCCTGCCCTGCCCTGCTCACCACTGGCTGTTCACAGGCATCAGCTCTCGGCTCACAGTTTCAGCCCATTAAGTGTCTTCCTTTGGATTCAACTGCTTGGAGATGGTAGGAAGGAGCAGTGCCATTGATAGTATCCACAGCATGCCTGGGTGTGAGCAGGTCCTTGGGATGTCTTTTGGAGTTAGTGTTATGAGTATTCCCATAACAAACCCCCGATGCAGAGATAAATCATCTTCTATTTCCCATACAGAACTGGAGAATCAGGAGTCCAGAGTGTCAGAGATCCACAACCTCGTTCATCGGCTCCCGGAGAAAAACAGGCAGATGCTGCAGTTGCTCATGAACCACTTGGCAAAGTACGTTTATGACTGATGTGTTTTTCTCTCCTTTTTCCACTTCCTCTGAAAGTTAATAGCGGTGGAAAAGTTTCCTTGTGTGTGTGTGGTGTTGAGTCATATCTGGTTGGCAAGAAACTGGAAACCTGTGTCTGAGTGAACCAAGGGCTGAGCGACAGAGTGGAGTGGGAGGGAGGAATGAGAAGAGGAGGGATGAGGGAGGCAAGGATGAGGGAAAGGGGCTTCCCGACCAACCCTCAGCCCTGTGTTGGCACCAGGAACCCATAAGCTACTGGGAATCTCATGTTGCTGTTAGTGGCCTGGAGTGGGGTTTGGCTGCCCAGGAGGCAGAGTGGACGTGAAGCTCCTCTTGGGGTTTCCAGTCAAACCTGGCATTAAAGGACTAAAAGTGATTTCTTTGCCCAACAGACAACTACTCTGGGGTGTATTTTCTGCCTTTATGCACCCCGATGAATCAGTATTTCTGGGTCACCTTGAAACTTTGCGAGGGCAAAGGAATGGAATAATTTTTTTTCTTTCAGTGATAGAGCTGACCTGTAATTTCCCATCTTCTTCCTGCTCCTGCAGGTTCCCATAGAAACCTTTGATTAGTGTTTTAAAAGTGAAAGCATCATCAGATGTTTGTGACAGCCTCAAGGCTGCGGGGTCGGACCTGCTCTTGCAGTTTGCACTGGTGCTGCAGGAGCAGCAGGGATGAGGCAGGACTGGGAAACCTGGGGAATGAGTTAATCGGGATGACTGCTTAGGAGAAGGTCTGGGAGAACCCAAGTTATCTGTTTAAGGGAAAAAAATAACAAACGGTACTTGAAATAGGCTTAAAACCAACTCCAGATGCTTTCTTGTGACATGGGTTTGTGTCTCCACGGACTCCCTGGCAAGGCTGTTTAAAAACCGAAGAGCTGGTTTAGGTGTTAGTTTCAAACCTTCTGTATTTACAACCTGAAGCCAGAGCCAGGCTCTTTCGGGTGCTCCCCTTGGCCAGTTGAGATTGCCCAGAAAAGTTTTGGCTGCCCCGTCCCTGAAAGAGGGGTGGAATGAGATGAGATTTAAGGTCCCTTCCAACCCAAACCATTGCAGGATTCTATGTGTGCGAAGAATCCAAAACTGTTTAAGTGTTTTCCATTTAAAGGAAACCCTGGTGATGGAATGAGACATGGAGGGGGAGGCAGGTGTACAGTGGGGTTTGTGCTGTTTTGGTGGGGAAGGAACTGAAACAAAACAAACAGCGAGTGTGGTGGTGTTGCTATTTTAGGAAAAGAAACAGCTCATAGTGTTATTTAATAGGAAAAAAATTATCTCAGAGAAAGGCAGGAAGCTGAGGAGCAAGAGCCTGCTCTGCTGAGCTCTCCCAGCCCTGGTGCTACTCCTGGGGGATCCTGGGCTGTGGAGGGAGAGGCTCAGCCAACCCCAGGCATGGACTCACAGCATCCCTTTAGTGTCGATCCTGCAGCCCCTGCTCCAGGAGCATCACCCTGATCTGGGAGCAGCACCCTGCTTCAAGGAGTACCTGGGGGGCAGCTGGGAATAGGGCTTGTTGCCACAACTCTTCTAAATGAGCTGTTTGAGGCTGCAGTGCCATAAAGCCATATTAAAGGCATAAGTGGAGATAAATCCGCACATCTGCAGCAGATGTTTGGAGGGAGGGGCCGTGTTGCAGAAGGGATGGGGCCTGGCTGTCCCGTGGGGATGCTCTGAGGGTGGGACCAGCCAGGGTCTGGGTGCTGCTGAGAGCAGGGCACCCACAGCTAACGTGGGCAAAGCCAGGGTCCACTGCCTGGCCCTGCCAAGCTGGACCACGCTGCTTGAAGGGGATTGTCTCATCTGTTTCTGTTTGGGTTTTTTATTTTAAGTAACATATGAATAATCAAGATTTGCGTGTTTATCAGATGAGCTAAAAAATATTTCTCACAGTCTTGCTGCGGAGATTTCTGATACTAAAAACAGAACTTGGGCTGTGTCAGTTGAATAGAAAAAGAACCTGTTCTTGCTGGTTTATGGCTTCTGGGTTTTTGGGGTGTACGTGCACTGGTGCACTGCTGCTCTGACGAGGGACGTGGGGCTCCTCATGTGATGGGGCTGCAGTTATTAACAGCAATAAAACCGTGCTAAGAAAGCTGATACATTCAAAAATGGCAATTATTAACACCAGTATCAGACAGGGTAAGTGCCTCTGAGGTAATTCAGCAGTGCCCTTCCTCCTGCATCGCAGAGAAATGCAGTGGGTTCCCTGTGGCAGCTGGGTGCCCCCCAAAATCGGAGTGCAGTGAGAGGGACTAGCAGAGGAAGGAGAGGACAGATCTCAGGAACAGGCATAGATAGGATGGAGAGAAAAGAGCATATCAATAGAAAGTGAACATGATTTCTGCCTCTTACTGCATTTCCAAGACTGTTTACACTATCTCATGTCTGTGTGTCCAGGCAGTTATCCATTAAGACACACAGAGCAGCAGTGATTCCTGTTCATGCTCTTTCATCAGGAATGTAATGCTGCAATTCCCTCCCCTGCTCTGCAGACCCTAGTTCCAGTGAAACTTGCTATTACAGTTTTATTCCTTGACCCACGAGTAGGTAAACCCTTTAATCTTCTTTGCTGGGACATGTTCACGCTCTCAGGATCCCCATAATAAACCCAGCTGTGTTTTGCTGTTCCTGAGAGCAAGAAGATCTCTTTGTTCTGATATTTTTCTGAGGAGATCTCAGCAGGGAAACCTAAGCACCCACAGCCCAGACCGTCACCTGAGCCTGTGCCCGTATCCTGATGACAGTCAGTGAGACTGGATAACACTGGCACAGGTTGCCCAGAGAAGCTGTGGCTGTCCCATCCCTAGAATTGTTCAAGACCAGGTTGGACAGGGCTTGGAGCAACCTGGTCTAGTGGAAGGTGTCCCTGCCCATGGCAGGGGGTGGAATGAGATGAGCTTTAAGGTCCCTTCCAACCCAAACCATTCTGGGATTCTATGATTAAACCAATTTTTTTTTCTGTCCAGTAAGTCAAAGCTAAGCGAGGCTCCCACAGTGGTGCTGGGCTGGCAGAGGCACTGCCAGAGTTGAGCTGGTTGCAGAAAATTGCCATTTTTGTTTGTGGAGCCGCAATATCATCCCTGTTTCTTTCTTCTTTTTTGTGCAGAACAGGAGGATTTCACTCTGTTTATATTTCAAGCATTTCAGGAGTTATTTTTTGTGCGTGGCCATAATTTGACACCTGAGCTTTGCTTTGTTCTCATGGCAGTGAGTCCAGCTCTCCAATGAAGGTGGTGCTGGGCTCGTGCATCCTCCGCAGGGCCCCCAGACCCTCCCGTGGGTCCGCATTCCCCCAGCATCACTGCCACTGCCCCAGGTGTCCCCTGACCCATGCACCCACTCCTCTCCTGGCCAAGGTCAGGACCATGGAGCAGGCTGCAGCCAAGCTGTGTGTACGTGTATTTAGCAGAATTAATTATCTCTAATCTCTCCCAGCTGCAACCTGGCCAACACCAACTGGTTCCCTTTGGTTTTGCTCCGGTGGTGTTTTCTAGTTTGCGTTTTTTAACCAAGAAGACAGTGATTGTTATCTAGCACAAATTGTTTGCCGCGGATCAGCACGATGGTTTCTGATGGTTTCCGTGGGCTCTGCGGGGCAGCTGCTGTTGGGGATCCAGCAAAACCCCCGTTGACGTGACAGGGCAGGGACCGGGCACGGTGTGCGGTGTGTTCCGGAGGGCTCGCTGCTGTACGAGGGATTGTTGGCAAAGGAGAAGAAGAAAAAAATTCCTCCAGGTCTTCTGCCTAAAAATACAACCCGTGCTTGTTTTCCTCGGTGTGGAGCAGTCCCGGCCTTGGCAGCCCTGTGCCGCGCTCCCAGCCATGCTGCCCTGCAGAGCCCCCTGGGAACTGGTCCCCAGTGCTCACCGTGGTGGGCTCTGTGCCCACGACTTCAGGAACCCACCGAGGCACCTGCATGGGACCAGGGGTGGCAGATCCCCCAGAAATGTGCTTTTCCTTGGTTTGTTTTCCTGGTTTCCCCCGAAGGTGCAGCCGGCGAGGAGGCTGACGCCTCTTGGCACAGCAGGTCTGATTTCATCCCCATGGCAGCTGTTTATGCTGCTGTCTGGTAACTATTCATTTGCTTGATTTATGTATTGCTTCCAGTAACTCATTCTTGTCCCGGACATTCTGGAAATTTCCACTAGCCACTGAGGCCTCTGAGATGCTCCGCTCTCGTATGCTCCTCACTTGATTTGGCTGCCAAAAGCAAACAGGGAGCATTCTCTGAGCTAGTGTGCCCCGGGCCAGGCAGTGGTCCTCATTGCTGCCTTTGGGAATGCCATTTTTTTGCCCAGTGCCTGTTTTTGCTCCTTTTGGATCACAGCACTGCTGGCTCCTGGGCAAAGCCCTGGGAGTTCGGGTGACTCAGAGGGTCTGGGTACTCCCATAGGTAGCAAAAGTCACATGGAAGGTGACTCCCTGTAGGCACGTCCTGCCTTGCTGGAGATGGGAAGTCCTGTCTGGAGCTCGGCTGTCCTGGTTCAGGCTCGTGTCAGTCTCCTGCCATGCTTTCTTTGCCCGTTTTTCCTTTTTCCCTAGTTGGAAATAGGTGGGCTTTAAGGTCCCTTCCAACCCAACCCATTCTGTTGGTTCCATGATTGTATGATTTGTGCTTTGGAGCCAGAGGTGTCAGAGCCTCTTGGGGCACAGCAACACCTTTGGTTTCCCCTTTGCTCTCCTCTACCTCATGTGTTTTGGTGGAGGAGCCGGTGATGCTTCCACAGAGCCCAAACAGCACAGTGTGCCCTGCAGCACTCTGTGCATGCCTTCCCCTTGCCTGCTCTGCCTTCCTTTTACTTCTCTGGTTTTGTTTTTGAGATTCTGCAGAACTAAAAAGAAAAACCACCACAAAAAGCCTTGTAGGTGTTCTCTGGGTTTTTGGGCTTGACTTCCTGTAATGTTTAAATTAGCTATCTGCATCTACTTCTGCAAATGAACTTTTAACCCCCTCAGCCTGGATTGTCCATGGAGCAGCT